CACACACACACACACACACACACACACACACACACACACACACACACCCACACACACACATACACATACAGGGCTATCTGGCTCTCTGTAAAGATGTCAAGATGCTGCAGTCGTAGTACATTTAAAGTTAAAGCACTTTGGTTTATCTAACCTCCTCTCAGGCATGTGCAGATTGACTCCTTTGTGATTTAATGGAGTATATGTTTCAGGTTTACAGCACAACTCTGCACATTATAGCCTAAACTGAAAGAGGTCTGATCACACAGATTAAACAAATAGCTGTCTTGCTTGAAAATAATGTATCCTTTTGAAAATCATATGTCACTACAAGTGTTTCTTTTATTGATTTACTTCATAATATAACTAAATCATGTGACAAATGTGAAAATAAATGCGTCGTCACAAAGTTGAAAACAATTACTAACACATGAAAATGTTTTAGTAATGTTTTTCGAGATATATGGCTTTCACAATATGATATAAAATAGACCATAATCTGTCCTCTGTTATGCTCAATTTACCTATTGTGAATAAATTAGTTCCACCAGAGATACCTGTATCTAAAACTGAGACGTGCAGAGATGTGTTTTGTGATTAAGGTCCCTTCGTTTCATATTGGATATATTCATTTTTTTTATTGTGGGTCTTTTGCTTTTGGTAAATTGAGAAATGCTTTGGACTAAAACTGGGTTTGTACAGTTCCCCTGACACCTGAATCAGCCTGGTTATTCTGCTGAATGAATGACAAGTAAAGAAAATAAAAATAAGCATCTGAAGTTTGTCGCACTCTGACCTGTATCATTTTGTGTTTACATGAGAAAACATCTCCGCATTAGTTTTCTTCTGTCCAGAAAAAAAATTATTATAAATATGGAAAGATGCTGCACTTTGAACTCACATGCAGCCCAGTCAGTTCCCAGGAGAGACACAGACATTTCTTTGCAGTTCAGCCATCATTTGTGATGCTTTGTGGGGCTTTAGTCTTAGTGCAATCTTTTAAACCACTTTATCATTAGTTCAGATTTTCTGAAAATGAAGGGATTACAGCCATGGCTCTTTAAACGCAGAATACATAGGGTTTTAAAGAAAATACACTCATCCCAGCCCATCCATAATGATGATTTTACATACATTGATCCACAAAATAATGAAGCTCGGGCACGCAGTATTTCCCAAACTCATATGGTTAATCTTTTTTTTAATTTTTCATTAAAGTATGTGTATTCTGGGTAGAGTATGCTAATTTATGGTAATCACTGAGTCAGAGCTTGTCTCTCTGTTTGTCACCACATCAATGCCCCCCTGCAACAGGGGAGACCACCAAATGCATGATCAAACAAATCTATTCTCCCGTGTCCTGAACTTCCTCAAATGGTTATTTCACTGAGAAGAATTAAAACTTTGAGTTAAAAAAAGTAATACAAACAATGTTTTAAAATATATATATTAAAGGCAACTCTGATTAAATGACCATGGTAAATAATCATTAATGCAAACAAGAGTTTTCCAGATACACATAAAAACCCATAAACTGTTCACAAATCACTGTTTGTCCCTTATATCATAAACTGTCGGTCAAGTCAAGTCACTTTTATTTATATAATTCAATAAGTTGTCTCAACAGGCTTTACAGTCTTTAATTCAGCTGAGGAACAACTCATAACAAATATTTTAACTTGTAAATAAATTGTAGCCTACTCTTTTTGCAGGTGATCTTTTTTATATTATATTTCTAAAAAGTAAACCCAACCCTCTACCATTTCCACCAATGAAATAAAGCGTTTAATTGATCTCATACTTATCTCAGTATCTTAATGTGAAGACAAACTGTGCCAACCAGCCCCGGTCTCTCCAGTACGCATGAGCCAGTGTGTATGGGCGGACCGGTCAGTCAGCTGATGACTGAAATACTCCTCACAGTCTCTGTCCCCAATACATGGATTTCGTCACACGAATGATTTTCTAGCCAATTACGCACAATGTGGAAAATCTCACACAACTGCAGGAGGAGGACTCGCAACTTGATGGGAATGCGTCCTGTGCGCGCACCTGGAGCCGCCGGAGACATGCAGAGGCAACACATTTTAGCCGCTTTCCACTCTGTTTTATGATACTGAGCCGCTTTGGACCTGCGATTTATTCCTGTGATGGGGAGAATCACATGCAGCTGCGCCGCCGTGATCCTGCTGGCCGTCATCAGCTCATGTCGTGCAGTCACTCTGGAGTCCATCCACTGGAGCAGCTCCAACACGAAGTAAGTGCACGAAGCGGTTTCACACTTGAGAGATGGTGATACTTGATACTGCTGCTGCGGCTTTGTGCTTGCAGTTGATCCAGTTAATCAGAGGATAAAACCATTTTACTGAAAACTATCAGACCACAGTTTTGTTATGTCAAAAGAGTGACTGCGAAAACAATTCGTCCATCGATCACAGAAAACTTTGATAATCGATTAATTGTTACAGTTCATTTATGAAGCACACATTCTGTGGCCCCAGCTTCTCAAATGTGATGTTTTGTATCATTGTAAATTGAATGGGCTGCAACTATTTTCTTTACCAATACATTTGAGGATTCATTTCTTGATTGATTGATTCTTGTTTAGAGTTATTCCTTGAGTGCAAGCAAGATCTTTATTTTGTTTGAAACGACCTAAATATAATCGGTTTACTGTCACACAAGACAAAGAAAATCAACACATTCTCACGACCGAGAGGCTGACACTAGAGGAATTATTTTAATATTTGCTTGAATCGATTATCAAAATAATTTGTGGTCGACGAATCGTTCCAGCTTTAAAATGTAATGTCTTTGTTTCTTAAACAAAACATTTGAAGGTGTCACCTTTGGGGCCTTTTCTGAACTTGATTAAACATTTTTTTCTTTGTTGAATGAAACTGATGCTTTTACACTTCATCTTATCTCACACACAGATTTAGTCCGGGTCAGGGTCTGGTCCTGTATCCTCAGATCGGGGATAAGATGGACATTGTGTGTCCCCGGGCGGATGCTTCCTTGGGGGGAAAGGAGGAGTTCTACCGAGTGTACCTGGTCTCCAGAAGCCAGATGGAGAGCTGCACCATCGCCAAGACGGACACGCCGCTGCTGAACTGCGACAAGCCTCACCAGGACGTAAAGTTCACGTTCAAGTTCCAGGAGTTCAGCCCCAACCTGTGGGGTCTGGAGTTCCTCAAAGGGAGGGACTATTATATCACCTGTGAGTCACTGTGTGCAACCTCACGGCTCATGTTCAGCTCGAACATGATATCAGAGTGTATGCTTCTGTGCACATGAACACTTAAAAATCAATAGAACACAGTCACAAGCCGCTGCTTCCTATAGGTGGATTCAAATCAATGCTAGCAACTGTTTCTTTGTTCCAAGTGGGTGAAGAGGAAGCCATCATCCTTAGCTCCCTCTCAATTTGTCAGTTTGGGTGAGAGTCAAAAACATTGTGGCCTCGTTATTGGGCCGCTGTCGGTTGAACCAGCATCTTAGTGGCAAGTGATGCATGAGATAGAGAGCAAGTCTGACCATGTAGCCTCATCCACTTCACCACGCTCTGACAGCACACTTCGCTCTGGCAGGCCAGTGTGATTCCAAGGGCTGACATGCCCCAAATCACACAAGGCTTTTACAGCATCAGGCAGATTTGATGGGAGCTTTCATGGCAACGTGGCTTGTAGACTGTGAGATGTTGTTATCTGACCTAAATGCTGCTAACAAGTCTATGTGTGTGTGTGTGTGTGGGGGGGGTAGCGACGGGTTGAACAAGAGTTCTTGGTGTGTGTGTGTGTGTGGGCGTGTGTGTTTGTGTGTGAATATATTTAGCAATTTCTATGTAAGTTAAAATTGAAAATGTTCTTATTTCACTTTGTCCAACACACGTTTTGAGAGGTGAGGCGATTAGTCAGTTCAACAAGAAAATTTGATCTGTAACTATATTGATAATGAATGAATCGTTTAAGTCCTTGCAAAATGCTACATCTTCTCCAGTTCCCGCTTCTTAAACATGAGGATTTGTTGCTTTTGTTCTGATTTTGGAGTGCTGATCAGACAAAACAAGCAATATAAAGACATCTCATTGGGCTCTGGGAACTCATGATGAAAAAAATGTATTAATTATTATTTGGTGCAGCCCTCGTGTGTGATTATCTGGATACTGCATGCAACATCACAGTGTAGCTGCATTCTGTCGCCAACGTGCTGCAATATTCAGCAACTGGCTAAACCGTCTACAAAGAAATCATAATGGAACTATGCATTGCTTGATAATCTTGTATTATGATGGTTGCATGAAATATAAAATGTTAAACATTACTCGATAATGTTTGCCTCCCCTTTGTCTCTCTCTGCATGTCAGCCACCTCTGCAGGCTCTCTGCAGGGTCTGGATAATACTAATGGAGGGGTGTGCAGAACCAAATCCATGAAACTGGTGCTGAGAGTCAGCCAAAGTAAGTACTTTGTGTGTGTGTGTGTGTGTGTGTGTGTGTGTGTGTGTGTGTGTGTGTGTGTGTCTGTGTGTGTATAGCTGTGTGCGTGAATGAAAGAGAAACTGATTAACTGACAAATGATGCTAAAGGAACAATGACAACAACTGTTTCACTCTGCTTTATAAATGTGTAATGCAATAATATCCCTCCTCTCTGGAATTATTAAGTAGTCAGATAATCTCGATCATCTATTCATTCTCTTGAAGAGAGATCGCCGTCATGAATTATTGCAAATCCCTAATTCAAACCGCTGGCAGCTTAAGGCCATCATTATTATCCTGCATGCGATCATACGGGCTGTCAATCATCTTTCCTCCACTGTATAAACATCAAAATAGCCACTAGTTTTAGTTTTTTATTTTTATTTTGTGCATCACATTAATAACGCAGATTATGAACATCTTCACTGCCATTACTTTAAATGTCTAAAAGTTTGATCACAGTATCAACACATACACATTGTTTTCTTTCTTTCTTTAACTATCAATACGTTGTTATGGTGGTGTGATTTCTTCTTCTATTAGACACGTTATCTTGTATATGATGAAACAGGCATTTATAGTTGTGTTTTGGTGTGTTTTTGGGTTTAGCAGATACATTAAACAGATGCTGTGTTTCTGTGTGTGTTGCTAAAAACTTTAAAAGCGGCATTTCTTACAGCTCCAATGTGTAATTTGTGACCTCATGAATGTGAAGTGATTCATATAAATTATTTAAGGATTTGAGATGAAAAATATGCATTTTGTGTGTTTCTCAACTGATCATAACTGCAGATATGGGGCTGCTTTGCTGCTGTGTTTACAAACCGCAACTGATGTAAACAAACCTTTTAACAGCAACAGAAAACATTAATAACTCAGATTTACTTGTAATCTTGTCTTAATCTCTCTACATATTCAAATTCCTGCAGTTTCCAGTCTTGTGTTTAGATTTTTGGTTGGGTCACGACACTTCTGTTTAGGTCTAGATTTATGGATTGAGCATTTTAAAACTGAAAATCTAATCATGTAGTTAATTTGTACATTCATGCTAAATGTGGTGTGAGTAAAATTCAACTATTGCCAACAGTGAATGAATGCTATGCAGAAATGTTGACTAATGCGTGTTGTCTTTATAAATTAATAAATTAAATTAAATGAGTAAAGAAGTCTTTGAAGGAAGAAACTCCAATTTAGTTTTATCCACATCACTTGAAGGCCAATGTATATGTACGTTTACTGCAGTACTTACTGCAGTACTTCTCTTGCTTGCACTTGTTTGGGAAACTGCTCAGTGTCATTCGCACATTACAAAATGTAAATCTATGGTGTTAAATGAATTCCTGCAGTTATTCTGTGATTTGAAAAGTGCTGTGTGTTCCTCTTTTTCTGCAGGCTTCTATAATTTAACTCAAACTTCCATCTTACTACACTTAAAGAGACACTCCAGCAATTTATTATTGCACTTCCATAAAGCTGAGGGACTTGTGAGGAAGTATTCAACGTAGAAATACTCCATTACAAGTAAAAGCCCTGCAAGAAATATCCTTCTTCAGTAAAAGTACAAAAGTATTATCAGCAAATTGTAAAGTGACATTAGTAGATGGCTAAAACCAATGCACCAATGTGTAATCAGCATCTCATATTGTTGTCTTGTTGATGTGGAGATATACCTTTACCTACTTTATATACAGTTCGATAGTTTTACAATATCATAAAACTGTAGAAATGGTGGAGTGCCCATTTAGGTTTACCAAAATTCCTTTTGTAAAAAAAAACCCATAGAAGGGATTTGAATCGGCTGAATTATGTTATGAATACTGAGAAAGTGAATGCATTTGTGATTCCAGTCAAGAAAGTCCCAGTCGTGACTCAGTACACAACTTTTGTGGTCTATTTAGGTTAGTGATGCACTTTTAAAGGAAAACCTCTTTTTGCTTTGATCCTGACACCAAATACTAATGATTCAACAGACGTCAGTATAGTCACAACAGGAACATTTTGACATAACCCCATCTGCACTCATCACCATGCAGGGAAAATTAGGAGATGTGAAGCGTTTTGCTGCTAATAGTTATGTGTTGTTATTTTATTTTCCAGACTCTTCAGATCCAACTTCAACCCTCCAGGAGTCCCCCACTCGGTTCCCGCCCACACGACCAAAGTCCAAGGCCAAGGACCCCTCTGCGAAAGAAAAGGAGAGTAAAAGCAAAACTGGTATGAAGACAAAGCAAAAATGTTGCCTGGAGAATATGTAGAGGTGTACCATTAAGTTCTGACATATTTGATCTTTACAATCTTTAAGATTAGATATATTTTTGTATGTTTTAGCCTGTTAACAACATATGGCAAAAAGGGCAACAGTCTGTGTTTAAAAAAATAGGCTGAATATTTTCCAAAAATAATGGGGCACGGCAGTCTTTAGCCATTGTTAACCAAACATGAGTAAATATTTGTTGAGGACTAATTTCAGCCACAAAGCAGGAAAGTATATGTGGAATTGAGTCAAAGGAGGCAGAGGAAACAGGCCAATGACATCTAATCATGATTGGTTTTAGTCTTTTGTTTTGTTGACGAACATAAATGAGATTTATTCTTTAGCTTTACTGATTAACGTCACTGATTACGTTTTTTGTTTTCTTATTTTCCCTACACTGAAGTAAAGGAATAATAAATTAAGTGAATTAAAATATTTGTAATTTGGGTTAAACGGGCACAAACATGCAAAAACACGAATATAGTCTTTTACAGACGGATCTTTTTTAATTTAATTTAGTTGTTGATTTGCTCCAGAAAGGGAAATATTTGTATACTTACTTCCGACATCACCATCTGCATATGGAAAACATTTATAAAGTATGAAAAATCCTATAAATTGTACCGACGCTGATATACTTAATATATATCCTGTCCCAAATCCACACTACAGATTGATTCTTGGCAGGTTTTTAGTGTGTTAATGCTCGAAAAGAGCCTAATTAAATTACAATCAAACCAGACAGCGTGCAGACTGAATATGTTTGAGTGCTGTTGATGCACACTATTCTATCACAATGCAGTTCACAAAGGAATTGGAGGTGCAGCTCTTGATGTGTATGTCTGAAGTTTAATTGGCTTTCCGGTTTGATTGAAAACCAACATCACCCATACTGTATCATATCTTGTTAAAATGGCTAAAACCGTTTACCGGTTCCATTTTCCTGCTTGTTCCCAAACCTTCTTATTCGGAGAAAAGCAACATGTTGTTTACCAGTAAGACACTAAAGATTAGAGCATATATTCTCTGGAGTCTAGCTTTGCCTGAGGGTTTTCATGTTAACATGTACTGATCAAGCTGCACAAACTGTGAGGAATTTATTTTAAATGTCTGTGTCGTGTGCCCTAGTTCACTCTTTCATCTAATTTTCCTCTTTTCTGTCTCTCTTCTGCTTCTTGTGACAGACTCAGGCTCAGAAACGGGACAAACAAATCCCAGTGGCGGCGGTGGCTTCGAGCCAGGCCTGTTGATGTGGGTTGTCTGTGGCTGTGTGATCCTCCTCCTGGTCGTCATAATTATGCTGGCCGTGCTGTGGAGGCACCGTCGCCGTCGCCTTGTCCCAGAGAGCCAGCAGTCTGCCTCCGTGTCCCTCAACACTATGGCCGTGGCAAAGCGGGACAGCATCGGCAGCGACTATAACGACTCGGACCGCAGCGATGTTGTCTTTCCTCTGCGGGCTTCTGACAGCATGATCTGTCGTCATTATGAGCGCGTGAGCAGCGACTACGGGCCCCCTGTGTACATCGTTCAGGAGATAACACCCCAGAGTCCCACCAACATCTACTACAAAGTCTGATGTCTGCTGCTCTAATGCCAGTCTGTGGCTGGTAATCCTCCACTGTCTGGGACACACAGACACACATCCATTGCTTTAGGTTGAAGGTTTGTAGTGCGTGATGGGAAGAAATGCCACGACCAAAAGTCGTCATACATACATCGGAGCTGTCTTGCACTGACCACATACTTCACAAGTGCAAACCTTTTTGTTTTCTTGATATTGTGAAGAGAGACAATCAGAGAGGAGCTTTATGTGTCATGTCGTTCCATTCCACTACATTTCAGAGGGAAATATTATGCTTTTTCCTTCACTGCATTCATATGGCAGAGTTGGTCGTTACTTTGCAGATTAAGACTTTGCATAGAAAACATATCATGAGTTTATATAATAAGTTGCAATTTACCCAACAGCATGTAAAGTACTTACTAAGAGCTCCACCTATAATAATAATAATAATAATAATAATAATAATAATAATAATAATATTAATAATCCAATAACATAATATATATTAGTATAACACTAGAGGCCCTTTATTTAGATTACTTTCCTTTCAGTACATTAAATGAAGCAAGTACTAATTATATTTACAAACAAAACTTATGAAGAACTTTGGATAGTTTACGTCAGTCATCACAAAAATGAATCAAGGACTGTTTTGATGACTAATTAATTGTTTAAATCAAACATTTCCTTCTTTCAGCTTCTCAAATATGACGGTTTGCTGCTTTTCTTTGTCTTAGATGACAGTAAACTAAATCATCTTGTGATTTGAAGGTTTTCAAGATTTTCTTTTTACTCCGGTAAAGCATCTGAGTACTTCTTCCATCCCAGGAAAATGCCAATTTGTTACGTTTTTATTTTGTCAAACAAAAGAAATATAGTATTTCTTCACTTCCATCACCCATGGCAGCCTCATTTGAACAGTAAATGTGCTTTTTATTTAATTTATTGATAAATCTGCAAAAAAGACTCCAACACACCAAATGTGAGAGCACTTAAATGGGATTTTCTGAATTGTGTAAACTTTGTTTGAAACGCTGTTCAGTGCAATGGATCCTTCTCTTCCAGGCTGCTTTCCTTTAGACAATATCACGTCACCTTCTGAAAACACAACTCTTTTTATGCAGCGCCCAATTTAAAGCTGTCCTTAAAAAAAGTAATTATAACATGGGAAATGGTTTTGTTTCTCGTTAAAGGGGTGAGAGTTAAAGAAAATGGACAAGTTGCCAGTAGTCTTTTCTTCAGTGTCTGTCTTCTCTTTCCAAAACCAACAAGAGCAACAGTAAACGTGATGGACACACAGGCAGAAAATTAATCGAAAATAATGGAGGAATTAAAGTTTTCAGTTACAGTTTTCCTTGTGGTTACAAAATGACTAAGACTTCAAGCAATAGTAGCAGCACCACTGTTTGCATACAGCTAGCTTTGCGACCATCATGGTCCCCCGCAGCAATTATAGCCACTGTGTTATACTTAAAGGACTTTTAGATGTTTTCATTGGTAAGTGTTTTAGCTGTGGTTGGTGTGACACAAACTTTAAACTTAAAACTGTTTTCTGAATGATTCTGGGTGCTGCCCACATGAGCATAACTCGTCATTATTTAATGGTGCTCATGCGATAGTGATTGCCATTCTGCAGTGAACAGCACCATGATGAGTTTTTGTTCTCCATGTCGCATTAGGTTGAATCGACAAAAAAAGGACAAAAGATGCTGAGAAGGCCCCGGATAAACATCTCTGATTGGTTCTTTCTCCAAACCATTCACTCATGAAGATGTTTAACAGCTCTAGTGTCATCTTTGCAGTTCAACACGTTTGTGCAATCTACCTGCAAGCTATGAAACTATCTGCAAAGGTAATGGAAATATTTTTATATAAATATAAAAACACTCAGCATTTCATTGTCCCACAGTGTCTCCTGAGGCTCTGTGCACGGCATCCATGGGTGACCATGTTTCATGCTCCTTCAGCCACATCATGCTGCACATTTTCAACCTGTCAGCTTCCATGAGCTTCCTCTCCACCAGGGACACTGTTGCCTCTGAAAGCCAGACTCGAGGATCTCCAGAACATGTGCTCTCGACTGTGCATCCAACAAGAATACTGCTCAGCTCAAATTAAACCAGTTTGAATCAGAAAATATCAGTAAACTGCCATTTTTTCCCTTACAACTTCCAGGAGAACATTGGAGTGAACTATAGTTATGTCTTCCACAATGCACTACTTTTCTATTTGGCCTGTAGCCTGATATATACTTGTAATAAAGAGCTGCAGATGACAGGCATGGATGGCCTCATTCTTAACCTGCAGCAAAATGCAGTTTCCCCTCAGGCGAGTGATGTATTTAAAATATCCGAGAGAAGAATTAGAAAATGTGTCAAAGATAACGTCATTACTTCTTTCTATAATTTACTTCCTTAATAGACCAACGTGTCACGGACAATTTTAAACCACTCTGGGTGTTTTCAATGGGGAAACACATTCGGAGTCGACAATGATCCATATCCAAATATACCAATTTATTTTTTGATCACTTTGTACAACCTCAACATGGCTCTAGTGTCTTGCTGTATTGTGAAAACACAATATAACACAAACAGGCTTGTGACTCTGAAACACTACAGAGCGTGCATGTGTGTGTGTCGACTGTGGCTAAGTGGATAGCAGGGCTGTCTTTCAATCAGAGGGTCGTCAGTTCAATCCCTGGCTCCGGCTCTGCTAGTCACATGTCGATGTGTCCTTGAGCAAGACACTTAACCCCAAAATTGCTTCCGTAGTTGTGTCTACGGTGTAGAAATGTGATAGACTCTGAATTGTAAGTCGCTTTGGATAAAAGCGTCTGCTAAATGACTGTAATGTGTGTGTGTGTGTGTGTGTGTGTGTGTCTTCCCACCCCCTCACTTGAAGTGATCCTTGGTCCTGAGAGATGTTTTTGTCCTATGTGAAGCTTCACAGCTGAATGGGCTGTGGTCGGGTGAGGTGAGTTCAGTTGACCTCGGGATCATGCAAAGACAATGGTGGCCGAGCTTCTATAGGAAGAACAAAACAGAGACCCCAGGCTCATGGCCCCTGTCGTGGGAGGGGCTTGGCTATGGTAGTCCATTTTGGAGAAAAGGGGCAGAAGTGGACTGTATCAGATGGGATGTTTTGGATCCTAAGTACAGGCTTGAATATCACAAGTGCTACCAGCTTGGTTTTTTTAAGTTGCCCATTTCACCTGGGAAGTCTGCTCAGTTTTTTAGTGCAGAAATAAAAAGATCCCATGCCTATGTGTTGCTGTATTGTCCATATGCATGACTGTTTTATCTTTATCTTTGTCCCAAATAATATAAACTATCTTATATAAAGTGTCCTGAAATGCTTTTGCTACTGATACCTACATAAATCTTTAACTACCATTTGTGCAGAGAGCACAGAGCTTTACCAGGAGGGGGGAGGTCTAAAAAGGAGAGCTGTAAGCTTTTATCTGACCCCATGGGACGATGTGAAGTCTGCAACCTCCCTGCGTCCGCCCACCCCCCACCCCACTTCCATATGCAGAGAAACTAGCCCCACCACTGGCTTTGTGTGGGGGGTTGGGGGTCATGACTGAGCGCTCCCACTCCCACCTAGATGTCGGAGAAGAACATATATTCTGGTATCAGGGGGTATCGTTTCATAGTTGTTGGTCTATTCGAGGGGTGAGCATTGAAGCTCAAATCAAATTCACCTTTTGTTAAAGTGGACTTGCAGCATCTACGTCTGAGGACAACCGAGTGTGATTTAGTGCAACACCAGCATGCAGCACACAATTAAATAATGGAGAAATCTTATCAATCAGCTGCTGAGAAAACACACATCCATCTCCTCTCTGAAAGTCAGTGGGTTGAATAAAGATGATGCATTTTTCACTAGAAACTCCAGGAATGGGGAAGTTGTGGTAAGTGCTTCCTCTTACAGCTGAAATGCAATCATGTCTTTTCAGTACAGTATTTAGTTTGCCAGTTCCCTCTGCTGGCCAGCTACCATACTGAACCACACTCATACAGTATGTTTGTGACGGTTCACAGGATTCAGCACATTCGATAAAATCACTGAAGGTCAGCAGCCGATTGACGATACCTGTGTTTCAGCAAACCTGCATTGAAGCGACTCACATTTGTCTGGCTTCTCAACACAACATATCACTAATAACAATGGGTTGTTGTTATTCCAACTAATGAAAGGTAAAACCACTTACAGCATTGCATCAAACCCCCATTGTACTCTTAACTACTCCAGGGGGCATTTAACAGGGGGGGGTGTTGTTAATGATTTTGAGGGGGATCATCCCTTGTTTCTTTGTTATAAACTTCAATGAAAATAGACTGGGGTGTTCTTGATTAACACTTGTTTTATCATTTATTTAACTGTATTTACATCTTTGTTTTGCGAACAAAAACATAATAGGAAGGACTTGTGTTACTTGCTGCAGGAGACACTCATATACAGCCCTCAGGACTGAGGTTCCACCCAAAACCATTTGCTCCAGAGGAACTCTTTTTTGAAGAAAGAGTTTTTTAAGGGTTCCTTGTAAGACTAAGGGTGCGAATTAAGAACAATTTTAAATAATTCCTCTTGAATTTTTGATTAAAGGATCCTTCCAGCCCTCACATCCCCAAAACATGATTGTTGATTGATGATGATTGTGAACCGTGATTGTTGTGGGTTTTGCTGCACCACATCATCCCTGGCCCTTTGTAAACTCTGTGAAGAACCAGGTAAGTTATTTTGAAAACCTCTTGGAACATTACAATATTATGGGTTGGACGTATACAGGTTCTTGTTAGCACATATTGAAGGTTATAAAAGAGATTTGGGGTTGAACCATTCCACTAAAACATGGTTCTCTGTAAAAGGGTTCTGCCATGGGGACAATAGGAAGAGCCCCATATGGTTCTAGTAAGCACTCTAGAAATAAAGGTGCTAACTAGAACCATACAAGGTTCTTCGGCTATTGGTAGCAGCCTTCAATGGTGGAAGGAGTTTTCAAAACT